CCTGCTCCTCATACTCAAAGCAAGACAATGAATGGGGACTAACTCAAATCAACTTGAGGTAGAACACCTCTGTGATGATCCAGGTTGTATATGCAGCTCACTCATGGATCTAACCCAGGGTTGTGGGCAGCTCAGCTCTCTGCGAGTCAAAATGATGTGGCCACCTCTAACAGCCTACAGACACCCCTCTTGCTGTCATGTGTGTTGAATGCAAACAGCTGAGCACTGTCATTACCCACAATCACAGCTGTAGAACTCATAAGAAACAGCATAATCAAGAACCAGGCATTCCCCATTACTGTAAATGTGTGATCGAAGCCTTGCCACAACACAGCCTTTTTTCCCCTGCCCATCCCAGCTGCTTTCACCCGGTCTCTTTCAGTCACTGAAGTTCCTCACTAAAGCTCTGTGACAGAAGTGGCCATGACAAGAATGTCTGAGATGAGACAGAAGCACCTACGGCAAATAAATAAACCAATAAAGCAATAAAAAGACAATGTGAGAGAACAAGGAGGACATGAGCTGTTCGGACGCTTGAAGGCCAGCCCATAGAGTCACTCAGTCTAGACTCCAGATGTGAACGCAGAGCCTCAGTGAGTGCAATACGGGACTGTGTAAATATCTCAGCCAGATGTCTCAGGGCCCAAGCTACAAATCCTCACAAATGGTGACAGAGTTGGCTGTTGCTGCTCGCATAGCTCTGCTTCCAAGAGAATCAGTGGTCATTCAGTCAGCAGCAGTTCATTTTTGCTGCCAGATGGGAGAGAAAACCAGGCTCAGAGTTGCAGTTAGTCTCATAGCAAACTCAGCAGTCAGAGGATGGGTCATGGAGCCCTCTGTGGGTACTGAGCCTAGCTCAAAATAGCAATCTGGGGAAAGAGCTGAAAAGATTATAGTAAACATAAAAGCACGTGATCCTAAACTCTTAAATAAACAAAGTAACAGGCTATCATGTTAGGCACCTGAATTCAAGTTTAGATCTTCAAGATTGCTTCCATTTGGTCAACTAATTTTACAGATGCTTAATGTTACACAACGGAATTACCTTAAATTTCAATTGCTGGAGACACGTGTTGCACTAACTCTAAGGAGTCTGATGCTTGTATCTGCACTTTTACAGACTAAGCATTCCTCTGCCTAACTTTCATGCTCCCAAAACTTGTCTCCTAGGTAGGTGCCTCAGAGAAAACACCTAGAGGTAATATGACTACCTTCCCATCTATTCGCAGCTGAATCTGTCCCTTGGGTGGCTGGAGATGAGATTCAGCTCCTTCTTCTGCCTGAGTTAGACCAGAGAACTGGGCCTGTCTCTCCAAGGAAATGCCTCTAACCACTAGGCTATAGTGTATTTTAAGCCAAAGCTTTTCCAGTCTCTTGGATTTATCCCATATTCCATAAAAAATCAAGTATTTATTGCAGCGGGGGATAGGACCTAGGGCTCTGCAGTGAAAGTCCTTATATACTCCACCCTGTCACTGGCCTAATTTAGGATATATCAATTTATGACCCAGATTCTCTTTAGCAAGTCACCCAAAATTGGAATTGACGGAATAATTTAAGAGATGATTTGTAAGCAAAAGCCCTGAGTTGGATTACTCTGATTCACAGGGATAATGTTATTTATGATTTCTTGTTCAGACATAAGGCATGAGCATGTTTTAGGATGGCCAATAATTGTCCCAAAATTTGCAGGATTTTTTCATTCTCCTGTTTTTGAGTGCCAATAGCAAAGTGACTCATACAGTATAAAAGGCAAGATTTTCAACCAAACAGCCCAGAAAAATTTGATAAGGAGACATAAGCTACTGTATCAATCTCTTATTCCTTTAGGTGCAGTTACAGGTTGAGCTTGAGCCCACTGAAGAAGTATCTATAAAGGCCATTGTTCCTCTCTCCTCTTCAGACCTAGGCTCACAAAGATAACTCAGAGTCAAAAAAGATTAGGATAAATTGCATTACTTCATACTTGCCACAGGCTAAGAGCTCACACATGAGCAGTAGCTGATGCAGGGTGACTAGTTAAGCTGCCATGGCAAACTGTATGGGACTGTGAGTCCGAGCTCACTGCCACTTTTCTCTCATTCCCAAGGTCCTAAGGGAAGTCAGATGCATCACTGGGCTCCCACAGTGGTACATTTCCCATAAAGGTTACAGGGGCTTACTGTGATTTACAACTGTAGTACATCTGACCTGCAGACCACTGCTGGGACACACTTAGCTGTAAACAAGATGCTTCCTGAGCTGCCACATTCAACTCTGGGTCTAAATCAGATTTATCTAAACTGACAGGTGTATGATTTTTAGGTTTAATTAATTTCTCTCCCTATTCTGAACAACATGACCCTCAAAAACAGTTCAGAGAGACCTGTGCTGGACATGTGCAACCCTTTCCCTTATTATTCTGTACTTCCAAGTGAAAGGGCTTTGAGTATAATAGTCTAAATAAGAGTTAACCCCAAGATCTAAACAAGTCTATTGAATGATTTATTCGAGCACATCACGTTGTTCTTCCACCTCTCTTTTAACGAATGCACAGCATCACTGTGGCTGAAAGTTAAAGGGGATATTTCTTCTGGCAGTGCCCTCCAGGTCCCTCAGGCTGGCTTATCCAGCAATTGCGTTGGCATTTTGGAGTTTTTCCCAGGATATTCTATGGCCAGGGATGCTACAGGCCATTTTTCTAAATGTCAATGCCCATTGCTGATTAATTTAATTAAAAAAAATAGTAAATCAACCTTAGAATATTTTTTTCCTTCTGCTCCACATCAAAAGCACATGTATTTAAAGGTCTTTTCAGAGTGGGTCATGTCTTTTAGAATGAAATAGCATGAAGGAGTTGTACTTGTAACCCAGCTGTGCACCCCTGACTTTCACATACCAAAAGATGGCAAATTTTCCTTGTCTTGCCCTCGAATCCAGAGCAGTGTTGCAATCCCTCTTCAAGTACGGGCTCAGAACTCAGCCCTGAGCCATAAATGCCAGCTGCAGTAGGCAGACAGTTAATCAGATAGTAGACAGAAACATAAGTGAAACTTTTCCTCTTGTTCTACAGACCTCAGAGAGGTGGAACTCATCTAGATCAGTAAAAAAGGAGCTGTTAAGGTACCATGTTGGAGAAGGTTGCAGAAATTCCAGAATCCTTATCTCCATCCTTGAAAAAAAATCAGACTCCCTCCAACCACAGCATGTTGCTCTCTGCGGAAGGTCAGATGTATTTTGCCATGCACGTGAATGCAGCAGCCATCTGACAGCCTCGAAGCTGCATTCCTTGATGCCTGTGGCCATATCAAATTTTTGGGAAGACATGAGGAACCATTTTCAGGAAAATGGTGCTTCATTTACTCTTTGACTCTCAAAGAATGTTTTGTCTTTCTCTCTGTTTTGTGAAGTGCTGTCAACACTTAGAGTGAAGTTTATTGTAAATACACAATAATAACAACTGCGCACATTCATCTCTGATTCAATTCCTATGTAAATTTATGTTAATACGTATGCAGATTAAGTCTGCCCCCCTTGGTCCTGGAAAGTTGTCAGAATGACACATGGGTTCTGAAAAGGTTGTGTACTACTTTACTGATCTGCAGCTTTTGTATAGCATTCAATAACCAGCAACCCAACAACAAGAGACTGTGGATAATTTCCCTTCACTTTTCCTCGATAAATCAGTGGAGTCTTCTTGACAGTGAAAAAAATATTCTCTAAACTCAGTCTCTAAGACCATGACCTGCTCATTTTTATTTCTATTTCACAGCAGAACAAATATTCACAGGTGGGATCATTTGAGGAAGGGGGCGGTACAAGAGAGTCCTGCCTTCAAGAACTGACAGGCCATTTCTAGACAGAAAAGCAACTTTTCTCCCTAATATTTAGTAACCATTAAACCAATGCCTAGAGTTTATGCCTAGTCCTCCTCCTTTTCGATGTTAAAGTTAGTGCAGTTTCTAAGAGAGCTCAAAAAGGTCATTTAGCTTATTCTCTCCTTCTTAGCCTTTTCGCTGTTTTAACAAGGAAATACACCGATCTTCTACCTGTGTGTGCTGCCAGAACCATTTTGAGCACTCAAGTCACACCAGTGGTGAGGCAGCTGGAGCGCTACAGTTAGCTGTCCTCTGCTTTCCTGCCAGGGATGTTTGGCTATGAGTACTTTCTGGTACTTTGCAGTAAATAGAAGCTAATCTTTAGTTCATCCCAGGGCTGAGTCCCTACAAGGGCTCCCAGGCACTTCTTAAATAATCACAACAGGACATAAATTGGGACTTCAAGAGATACATGTGTTCTTTGCACAGAGATGAATTTCCAGTAATCCAAAAGGGGATGGGGAAACTGCTAGGAGACACAGCAGGCACCACAATTGTTGGCTAGGAAGATACGCCAGACAACAAAAGTCCAATTGCCAGAAAGCGTTTATACTCCAGCAGTTCACAGCTGAGGACTTGATCCTGACCTTTGATACACAAAACAGATTTGCTTTGCAGCTGGAAACTCAGTTGCAGCATTTGTGCTTGGAGGGCAAGACAGTGCCCAGAGCCGACAAAGGTGGGAGCTGAGTTGTCATATCTGAAGTAAGGCAGCAATCTCTCTCCTGAGATCACTTCCACATTAATAATGCTTAATGGAATTAGAAGGCCAGTGATAAAAAAAAAAGAAAGCCCAAACAAATTAACAAACAGCCAAGAAAAAAAAAACCAAACCCAAAACCCCCAAACCAAAACAAGAACATAACTGTACCCCATACAGTGAGAAGATACTTCAGTGACCCACTTATTTCAGGCCTTTCAGCTAATTGAAAGAGTGACACTGAGAAAAACCCTTTCTTCTCCAAGCTCTTCCTGCTTGACTCTGGTTTAGGGTGTTATTTCAGTCTACTTTTTAATCTCATTTTATTGAAGGCAATCTTAGCCCCAAGAGCAAAACAAGTAAAATAAAAGCAATAAAAGCCTGGAAGGAATCTGTATTTTTTCTTTGAAATAGAGCCCCATGTCAGATGGCTTTCCACATACTTTGTTTAGTGAAGGTTACATTATGGCATCCCATCAGGCCTATTCAAACCAGGTTGCAGAAGTATTGTGGCTGGGATCCAACGCTGCCTTCCTGCCTGCAGTATCTATCTGTTGGTGGTGATTTTATCTCATTTTCTCTCTTTCCACCTCTCATGCAGCTGCCTGCCTGTCTTGATAGGACCAAAGTGTAGCTCATGGAATCTATATGATAATCACAAAAATAGTTATTTCTGCTGAAAAATGGATTTAATTCCCCCTCTAAACCTTTGTGGATTGCCAACTGGGGGTGTGAAACCAGCTGGCAAAAGATGCATTCATTTCAATTTCATGACTTTCATATACTGCAGCTTCCTGACTTTAAATGGTTCCTCCCCTCTCTAATGAGAGCACCAAGGCCTTGATTAACAGCCCTCACTTTAAACAAAGTTTTTGAAGAAGCTTCTTTTCATCGTAACTTCTCTGGGCATGTCTGACAGCCTGCTTAATCCAGGGCAGCCGAATGCCTCTTCTTTCACAGCATGAGCATTTGTCAGAGATACTAGGAGTCAGGCTTGGTGAAGATTTGTATCTCTGTGTACTCTGCAAGTAACTTGCACAGCAGCGTGGGAAGGAAGCTTGAAAGTAGTGCTGGTAAAACACTGAAAAAGTATTTCATCAATGTTTTCAAAATGCAAAGGTCTGGAACGGACTCTGGTTTACTTTTTTAACTCTTTCAACCTTTTTCTGATAAAGTACATTTTTATTTTACTAGAAATCTTGTCTTTAGTACATTGTTTGCTAACTTTTAGTCTAAATAGTATTTTAGAGAGATGACTAGCCAACGTGGGAGAAAAGCCTGATATATTTTTTGACAGTTAATCACAGAGAAGGGAAAGGCTATCTCTTGACAAGAGTCCTCCAAGCCCATCTGAGTCAGAGCCTGCAGATGATCGAATAGTGAATTAGGATGCAAATACTCAAATCAAAGGTATTATCCATGGAAAAGTACTATTTACTTTCAGATTCTGGCTTTTCAGATGCTTCCAGGTGCCCACTTAGTAAGTGGATGTCTAATAGACAGTAGATGAGGGCCTTAATCGTAACTAAGTCTTTGAATCTGGACTTACAGAGGGTTTAAACAGGTTTTATGAGGAAGCTTGCTTGTAAAGGACTGAAGTATACATCCTCCCTGGTCATAAGGCAAGATGTTCCCTCTCTGTGACCTTGCTTCCTTTTCACTGATCTCCCCTGGGAGATAGGAGAGCAGCAAGACCCTTTCAGTGCAAGCCCGCTGACAGTATTTGAAGTTATGTCTAAAGCGCAGTCGTATGGTGGCTGCTGTTTAATACATACCCAAACTAGACTTAAAAGCTATCTGTGAACCAGCAGTAGTCATGTCAACAAAGAGCTCAGCAAAACTACATAAAAAGGTATGGCTAACTGACATGTGCTGAGTACAGCGCTGCCATAACTTGACTGCTACCAGCATTTCAATAAATTCAAACCTTCCTGGATGTTTGTGTACCAGAGTGCCCTCACTGTGGTTGCCACATGAAGGAAAACTAGCACACTGCTGCTAACTGGACAACCCCAGAGGGCATGACTGAGCATAACTCTGGGTTAGACCAGAGTTTTTGTTTAACATTTAGATGAAGTTTTGCTTTGGTTATGCTTATGTATAGGTTTGCTCTTGGCAATCAGAAAATTTGATTTACATTCAGCCAAAGCATGAAAGGAAATACTGGGGCTTGGAGTGGGGGGTGGAGTGAAAATGGAGAGAAGGGGAGAAAAAACAACCCTAAACAAAAGCTCTGATGATGATGATAGCATCACCAGACGAGCAAGCACACAAAAAAGAGTCAAAAATTTCAGGCGCAGAAGTCAGAAGATGCAGTTTCTTCCAGGGAAGGAATATGCTGCATCTCATTTCTGCTGCGCCTGCTGATACCATCTACAGAAAATCCATCACCAGTTGAAAGAAAGCTGCATTCATTGTCAATGCATTCCACCACTTTGGTGTCCCAGCTTTCATGAGTTTATTAGATGCACAGTCATGGACTTTTCTATGAAATAGAAAGACAATACAAGCTTCTTTATTATTGCCTTACAGAACCATTAGAAATTCTGTTCCTTTATATAATAATTTCCCTATTTTTAGTGCCTCATCTATCAACAACTACTATAAATTTACCTTAAAGCAAACTGTAGCATATATCTCTTTATATACACCCCCCCATATGTATATGTATACAGACACACACACAATACATACGCATATACATCTATATACATATAAACACAAAAAGCCCAGCAGTGAATAGGTGAATTTACTGAAATAAGAGAAAATAGCATATTCAGAAACAGAAGAAAATAATACTTGATTATGAAGTATTGCTGCTTATATACCAGACATCTTTCACATTTTCTTCTTCTGTCATAACTGTTTCTATGATTGTGATGTTTCTTCTTGCATACCTATCCTTCAGCAACATAGCCTTTTGGAATATGCCCCTGAACTGGAATACTCACAGAAAATAATCTGACTAGTTTGTATAGAGGGAAAAAATAACTTTGGAATCAAGTGAATAGAAAGAAAGGCTAAAATAAAGCTTATATTACAGCACAGTCAGTGAAGAGTGGTAATAGCTATGAAGTCTTTGTCTTTGAACAGGAGCTGTAAAGCATGAACAGGTTCAAGCTAACAGTGCCAGAATGGCAACTCTGTGAAGACGTTGTAGACTTCCCATTCTTATCATGCAATAACTCCCTCCATACATATGTAATAGCAGTATGGATGCAAATTTCAGTCAGGGGAGGGGTAGGACTGGGAGAGCAGAGCATGCTTGTAACCTGATTTAATAGGACTCCATCAGAGTTGGTGTCAACCCTTCCATCCCTAGAACTTGAAAAAATGGTAGGTCTCTGATCATCTTCAACAGATTCTTCTCTTGATTTGAATTACGAATGTCTACAAGCATCATAACAATACATTCTCATTTTCACCTTGTCAGTGCCAAGCACAATGAATAGAAAATAAAAAAAATCACCGACAAGTAATTGCTGTACCTCATAAACAGAGCACAGAATTGTTAGTCACAATTAAAGATAACAAAAGCAAGACTCTTCATCTAGAGAACCTGTGAAATTGCTGCTTGTGAAGCATCATTCAATCCTTGTCCTCAGCCAAATATGATGGGAAATGAAGCTGCTCCACCTCTTCACTGAATAAAGAGGTTTCAGCCTTTAATACAACACACAACCAGAGTCACAGCTCCACTAATGGATTTTGCTACTGGGAGGGATGGTGTGAGCTTCATGTCAGTATCAGTACTAGGGATTTTGTATTATAGCACACCACTGGTGCTCTGTTAGTGGAAATATAGTGTCAAGCTTCAGACTCAAGGCTGTACACACTGTTTCTCTTATCACTTCATTATGTACAAGAGACAACTGTTATAAAACCCAATAAAGATGTACATATCCCAACCCAGAAGACAAGACAGTCATACAAGTCCCACGTGTAATTCAGATTGAAACATCAGCCAGTATGGCAGGCATCCCAGAATCCTAACTTATAATATAAAACAAGTACTTCACAAAACAAAACAAAAAACTAAAAGAAAGATAAAAAGGAAATTAAATACTACCCCGACATCTTGGAAGAAGGCAGCACCTCTCCAGGACTTCTTCCTGAATTCAGCAGGGCTCCTTGCCTTGGTTGGATAGCAAATGCAGTTTCATAAGTCTATGCGTGCTTGTCTGTAACACAACACAGTTTTTTCCATAAGCAAAAGACATTTTTACTTTCCCTGACTAGTGAGGGGACAGCTCACACTGATGTTACTCACCCTTTGCCTCACAAGAAGGTTTTAATATAACAATGGAGGGAAAGTATAATTGGTAGGAAAGGAGGTAGAAGGGGAAAAGAGGGAGGTAAGTCTGAGCTTACATAGGTCACTGAATGGCATTTTCTTCATGTTGGTGAAACTGGACCTGAAATCTGCTCTGTCTCCCCCAAAAATCAGTCTTTGTGATGAGAAAATCTTGTTTTGGTCACTCTGTCCTAAGCAGAACATGATAAAAATGATACGACATAGGATCCTCCTCAGAACCATCATTTTGTGTCAGAGGATCTCATAGTCTAAACATTTCCTATCAGACACTTTATTCTTAGAGGAGCCTGGCTTTCTGCAAAAGTCCTTTGTACTCCAGCTGGATGTCATTACATAATTAAGCATATGAGCCAGGAGGTAGTCTTGAGCATGGCAATTTTACAACGTAAGATCAAAATGTTATTCTTCCTTTCAAAAGGTCTAGTGCCATTTGTTGTAATACCTTTATGCAAGGGATCAAATACAGTATTGATTATTCCTTATTACCTTTAAAGAGGTCAGTCAGCTTCTGGAATTCAGAAGACTTCTGCGGATCTGAGGGGATATAAGGCCTCAGGGCTTTATGACTCATCTTGACCTGAAACTTTTAAATATCACCTGCTGTCTGGATTGTTCCTGCTTGCTGCCTGGGATTTCAAAGTCTCTCTCTCCCCTTTTTTCCCCCCAAGGCATCAGTCTTACAAACACTGCCAGATGAAGAGAAGCAAAGAATGCAAAAGAAAGTGAAAGTGAGAAGACCAGGAGTTGGGAGCCCAGCTGGTATACAGCTGCTTTGCTAAGATGGAATTGAAAATGAGGATCATTATTCTGGTTCTGCATGCATCCTACTGTGTTTAGTTATTGCATCACACAGAAGATGCAATGGACATATCCTGTGACCAGCTACATTGTGCTCAACATGGGTTAACTGACTATTCAATATTCTAACACAGGGAGTTTTTCAATCTTTCTGTGCCAATTTGATCTTCAGCCATGTTCAAATGAAGGAATCTTTAGATGAGACTGGGGATGTCATTATGTGGAGACCCTGACAAAATTTAACATGCTACCTTTATCAAGTTAAGAAAAAAATCAATGTCATATTAATCTAGACACTGTCTTAAAAGTTTCCATTTTCAACAACATTGCCTGTATGTTGTAGAATAAACCTCCAAGAATGCTTTTTGGCAGATGGTTAAATATTTAAGTAGTTGGCCACAGATTTTTTAAACTTGAGATAATTAGAAGACTTGAAGCAGTTAATATTTATTAGTCATGAAGAGTTTGACAGATTGGATGTTTTCCTACCCACACATTTTTTCTTTAGCATAAAAAAAATATATATACATATAGTCATTGTATATGAAACAAGCACTTATATGGAGGCAGAAGTAAAAGGCATGGACTTCCCATGTTTCTCATTATGACACACGGAGACTAGTGGCTGCCATTTAATCTAAGAACATGCCAGAAAACAACGTAGAAATAAAAAGGTCTGTGTGGAAATGTGTCCAAGTCTGAAACCTAAGGACTGATTCTTTTGCACCACTTCAGCTTTCATTATAAATTATAGTGTCTCTAGCAAGGTTGCAGGGCTACTGCAGTCACTGAGGATTATCAGACAACCTATTTTCTATTAGATTTGCCCATTCTCTTGACCTTCTTTCCAGGAGAGTAGATGCATAGAGCAAAGGCAGACCAGTCCTGTGGCACTCCAGAACTGCATAGAAGACTCCTTAAGTAATGACTTAAACCAGCAGACTGGAGGCCAAGAACTGACAGATTACTAAGGCTTCTCCAAGGACCAGTTTCACCTGATATGTCCTCTTTTATGTGTCCAGAAATCTGACCGGAAAGAAGCATTGAGACATTTGCCTGGGCTTCCTACCTGCCTCACAGACAGACCTGAGCAAAAGCAGTAACATGCTTCTCGCTAGGCTGCAGATCCAGCTATGCTGAACACACCAAGGAACACATCTCAGCACTTTCCATGCCTAGTCAGGCCAATGCAACTGCACTAAGCCAACAGCCAACCCACATGGTCAGCAGGCTGGATGACATTAGGATGGATATATGGGCACCTGCACAGCACATACATGGTAGGTCTACTGTGTTGCCCATCTGTTAGAGTGTCAATACATGCAAGTGTTTGAACACTGTCTGTGTGCAGACAAAGCCTTGTGCAAGGGACATGCACATTGTTAATGTATAATAGAGCAGCTGCTTGAAACCATTACCTTCTTTTGTAAGATTGATGCTGACTTTGCCAGTGATTCAGGAAACACATGAAAGTAGAACTAGTGTTATACTATGTAACTGACTGGCTAGAAAGAGATGCATCTCTATTATATCTACCTCTCTCTTCTTAATGGCACTACTGAATAGGCAGTACATGCCCCAGTATAAAAATGCCTTACGTTCCTTTACATTCAAAGGCAAACAAAAAGTAAAATAAACCCAAACAAGCCATCTTAGCAATGACATTTGCATGTATTAACATGCAGCATTAGAAAGAATGGGCGCATAGGATTAACTGTGGCAGGCAGGGGATGAGCGCAAAGGATTTTCATCAGTGTTAACCCAGCAAGGACAAGGGCAGACAGTAATATACAATGTACCTGCTATAACCCTTACCTGGTACAAACCAGTAGGGCAGGACCAACTGCCTTGGCAGGCTGAACACAGTCCTGATCAGGAGTCACTCCCACACTGCCCTCAGGGGAACCCAGGAGACAGACTGGAAAGCAGCCTTGGATACTGACCTCTGCCAATGCTGGCTTGCTCTCTAAGGGGATGGTACCTAGAGCAGAGTGATCCCCCGGCTACAACCTCTCTTACAGTCATCACAGATGAAACCACTGAGGGGATTTTTCTTTATCCTATAATACCTTTAAGGTCCATCCCTATTGCATACAAAAATGATAGGATATTCTTTCAGGTTTTTTCCCTGTATTAATATTATTTTTGGAATATTTTTCCCAGTGCCTTCTTTTCAGACAATAGCAATTCATTCTTTATTTATCTCATTGCTATAGTGAGACTCTGGAGGTCTGGAAAACTGGTAGGGTTACGAGATACAATGAAAGCAAAACCTATTTTAAATGAACAAAGTCTCAGAAGTTTCAAGCTTTCATAGGGTTTCTTTGATTGCTAAAAAGCTTGTTGGAGAAAGTCTGTTAAAGTTTCAGTATCTTTTCTCTTCAAGGAGGGATCCACAATCCTCAGATCTAAGAGCTCCAGCAAGACTCACTGCAAACCAGAAGACAAGAATAGAATCTAGCAATAAAAAAGAAGCCGCAACCTTTTAAAAAACAAATATCACAGGATTCCTTTACGCACCATAAAGAAATGAAATGGAAACAAACCCACATTGTTTCCTCTTCAAGTACCCAGAAGAAAAATCTGCACCTTAAAAAGGTTTGACCTCAATATAGGCCATAATGTAAAAATGTGAGGATCTTGGAAACTTGTGCTTTTCCTGGACTGAGGCCCAGATTTTGTAATATATCTTGCCTGTTACTATTTTTCTTGTTTCTTCCAAAGTAGAAAAGGCTCTTTTGAAGAAACATGTTTTCTAGACACTTTGATACAACAAAGTTGGGGTCTGTTGAAATGCTTCAAGTTTGATATATACACATATAGTTGAAACACTTTCTGGATATAAGCCAGCATTGCCTGTCTGGATCCAGTTCTTACTATCAATATGTTGTAAGAGTGGTCTCTAGACAGAGTGGTCTCTACCCTGACATGTAGGGTATATGCTAGGCCAGATGGATAATACTAAGACTTGCTGTATCTTTATCTTCTTCACACAGTTTTAATGAGCAGCACCTGAAAGAATGTATGACCATATTCAGATCTTCTGCCTAAGTGAAAAAAAGGACCGCTAGCATGCACTGGTAGAGCATCACATCTGCTTGGAAAAGGAACTTTGTTTTTGCTTACTTCACACAAAGAAATCTGTCAACAGTTTGATCCAGAGATTATCAATGGGATGAGTACACTTTCAAAGGCCATTTTGCTGGGCTGGCCACAATGTGCTTTCTCACACTGACCTGCTCTTCTGTTGCTGGTGTTCTCCAGGCTGAGCTGAAACTGTGATTACAAACCATTAAGCCTACTAAGCACATGGGCTGTCATGTACATCTCTTTGCTTACTCTTTTTGCTATCTATAGAATATGCATGCAAATAGTTCACTGTATGCTATTTCATACCATTTGACTGAGAGCATCAGATCAGCTGAGTCTGATTAATATTTTTCCTCCAGATATACCTCTAAATCCAGCTAGAAGAGGTCCAGCCATACAATAATTCATGTTTACTGGGCGCACTAAAATTAATTCCTGGCATATCTTATCAAACAATCAGCCATGAGAGAAAGTTTTCCCTACTGGAACATGCATAAGTCACTCTAACTTTTGTGGGTATGAATTGAAAGCAATTCCTTCCCCACCTTCCAATGTTTGCTCAGGTGCAGTTTGGTTTCCACGTGAACTGATTCTGAAGAACCTGCCTCAACCAGCAAGCTAACAGAAGTCACCAACCAACTCACGCTGACTACAAACAAAATCCTCATCCTGCAAGAGTGTTACATGAAAGTACATTACACAAAACCATCTTCATATTTGTGACTTATTGTAAGTCCTTAGGTGATTTGCCTTTAAGGATGACTACATTTTTAATCAATGAGCAAGGCATGCAGTATGTAAAGTTCACGCTAGCTTGAGCGGCAGCGGGCTGTGTTTTTCCCCTGGTGAACAACCCCCTTGTAGCCCACAAGCCTTAGCTGGTGAGGTTATGCAGCCTGCCTATTAGGACTGCTCTCAGGCACATGCCTGACTGCACTCTCAAGACTCAGGGCCAAGCATAAACTTTAAAGGAACCCTGCCAACTAAATGTAAGCAGGAAACAAAGACTGTATTTTTAACCAAAGCAAATGTGATCAGAAATGTTCTCTTGATGCTGGTACCAATAATTATTTTTATTATGTTGCACTCAGTAAAGATGGCTTTTAATTGAATTTGAATATTAAAATCTGTCATGAAAATGAAGCTATCTGAAAACTAGAGTTGATCAAATTGTCCACTGGCCATTGCAAGTAAATTAAATACATTTTACTAGTGGTGAAAAGTAAGCCTCATTTCAAAAGACAATAAAGATTTTCTGTGCCAAATGTTTTATAGTCTTGTTTTGTCGATCTTACAAGGGGAAGAAAAAAAAAAAACAAACCAAAAAAACAAAACGCCTAAATGGTGTGGATTATCTACAAAAGGCAAAGACAAAACATTGCAGAAAGGTCATCCCAGATGAGTTCCAGTAAACATTTTTTATAGTATCATAGTCCAAATAGACTACAGCAGGTTGCAGAAAACATATTTGAGGAATGACATAGAGATTTGTATAGAACATACTTAGATTAATTCTTGTACTCTCTCCATTTTAAATATAATTGTTTCAGTCCTCAGTTCAAATAAAAAAAAGTTCCAGCTTCACAGTTTGACTGTTCTGCTGGATTGGGACCCTACCTACAATGAATCTAACTGCACAGACAGACTCCAAAGAGGTTTTCTGGATTTAAAAATGTCAACATTTTCAATTCCTTTATCTTGTTTTTCTTTCCAACATTAAAAGCAAGTGGTGCGCATACTATTAGGAAGCTCCTCTCCAGTGCTCAAAGGGCCTTGATTCTAATCTTGTCATGCCACGGGACGGCTAAAAGCTATGACAGGGAGATGGTCATACATTTATCAGAGCCTGCCCAGAGCTTCCAGTGCAGTCTGGGCAGTATACTACCAAGAAGCATGGAAAAAAATTTTAGGGTGTCCAAAACAGATGCTGGGTTACCTCCTACACTGCACCAACGGATTTCTTGGAAACAGATCTTGTGGGAATGCATTGGATTAATTTCTCTTGAGGCCTTTTAACACCCTCCTGAAAATCTCAGGTATGCACTGAACAAAAGGAAGAACAAAGCAAAGCATTCTGCCCTAAAAAGCTCTTCGATCAGATGAACTTTTGCTTAAAAGAAAAGCTAGAATGTGACCTTTCCAAAGGGATCCTGGTAATTTCCACCATGATTTCCATAACTCAGTGCCTTATAATTATGCATTTCAAAGTCATCTGAAAGAACCAATAAAGTCAGATTGATTATTTGTATACATCACTATGAGACATTATCACTCGATGCTGCCAAAGCCAATTCCATGCCAGCCCTTGATCTAAAATTAGACTAAGGACAAGGAAGTGTTCTTTCCTCTACAGTGATCACCTAAACCCCAATGAGCCAACAGAGGCTGAGAGTCTGAAAAGCTGTCAGTACCAATGGGTGATTACTGATGAAAGACCTCATGACAAACAAACAGGCCCCTCAGGACTTCCCTGAGAACATACACAAATTTCAGCACCCAGTAAGCAAGGTGCTTATAATACCCACTAGGGATAAGACTTGAAATTTACTCAGAGAAGGTAATTAGGCAAGGAAGACAGACACCTAGTACAGCAGCTTGAAGCACTGAGAGTGGTTGTGGTTCCCCAGAAACCATAATCGGTCATAACACAAGTGGAAAATACACTGCGCTGGCCTATTCTCTCTGCAGTTGCTCCTCTGGGAAGAACAGAGATCTCACAGTCTCAGCCCCTGCAGTTCTTCCCAGCCTGAACAGCGCAGAAAGTTTCAGCCCTGTATCCAGGCGGAGGTAGCGCCAATTAACCGAGCTCATTTCTCAGAAACATGCATGCCATTTCACAGATACTGAGCGGAGGTCAAGGAAATGTCTTTTGGCTCTGACTTCCACAGACAGTTTTAGCATTTCTTCACACCCATGTGATTGCACTTGGATGTGAGCACTTGCTTTAAGTCAAGAGTCTGTTTGCTGCTCTGCGGAAGGCAATCCCTTCCATATAATCACAACCTAACATAAATGTAGGTGAGCGCTAAGCTTCCACCACAGCTACTCCATGTGGGACCACCTGTGAGAGCTTGCACTAAGCAAAGGATTGTCCTCATCCAACTTCACAACTGCTCAGCCTGCTACCACCTTAAATTACAAGATTTGTACATGTGTTATGTAGGGACATATGCCTCATGTTATTTTCTATGCAGGCTTCATGTACACACAGCATGCATAGGCCTAGATCCGTGAGTGTGTGTGCATGCGGATAGATAAACAGATAATCTGGAATCATTTCAAAGCAAGTGAAACATTTTTTCTTTCTTTCTTTCTAGTTGTTTCACAACAACTTGGCCTTGGGATCTTCCAGGGAGCTGCGTGTATGAGTGACATACTTGCCTGTTTTTACAGCTCCTGCCTTATGTCAATTCAAGCATCTTTCCTACACCTGGAGGAGTTCAGCAAACATCAGCTCACAGGTGTCACCCTCCATTGGCTGAAGGCTGGCTCCAGAGAGTCTAGCCAATATCTGCTTTGGCTATTAACAGCCTTGGAGAGGCCAAGCTCAGTGTGTGGGGGGAAGCAGGGGGAGGAGAGGTGGAAGGAAAAGGAAAGCGGGGGGGGGGGGGGGGGGGGGTACATGTATGTGCATGTGCATTTGCTGCTGCTTTAACTTTCCATCCATTTAAGAGTTTAAATACTAGTCAAGCACTTAAAATAACATTAGGACACATTCCAGCTTTCTCTGCCAGTCAGAAGGAAAAAAATGTTTGAAACCCTGCATCTCAGCACCCCAAGGGCTTTATGATTTGTTAGGTTTAGTAGTTCAGAGGATTAAAAAGACAGAAATATTAGTAGAAAAAGAAGAGGAAAAAGTCAATGTATTCACTGAAGCAAATCTAATGGTTGCTGGGCCACAGAAGAAAAGGTTCTACTACCTGACTGAATCTTATTTATATTTCTTGCTCCACAATAAAAAATAATTTTCTAGACATTCCCCCCCCCTTTTTTTTTTGCTATGCTAGTCACATTTCCTAAATCCTTTATCAACGGCTGCTCTGCATATGAATGGGCTGTAATTGAACTGTCACATTCATGAAGGTCAGTAACCTTTCATTAGGAAGAATGTGTCTTTCTTGATAAATTGGAAAGTCCCTGAGGATTTGAAAGCATTTTTTTTTTTATTTCACTCTTTCAAATATACCTTAAAAATCTAACACAGATCTTTCTCTCTCTCTCTTTTCATAGCACTCTGACAAACCTCTTGTCTTTGTCTTTGTCATAGGCAGTTCCATGCAAAATATTCAATCACAAGCTTTCACTATGACCTTCTTAAAAGCAAAATGGGAAGCATCAGCCCCCCCCAACCTTTTGCTTTGAATTGCAGATAGCTGATACGTCTGCTTACTAAAAAAAAAAAAAAATAAATAAATTAATAAACAAAATCAAAACTTTGAGATAAGAGTTTTTGTGGTGTTCTTGTTTCTTCAGACTAGCTTGAGTATCTACTGTAAAGAAACAAGTCAAACTGCATTGGTGCTAGTATGTCTGTCTGTCTTTTTGGTGTGTGCATTTATCTGCAGAGATGGACAGGCAAACACCTCACGTGGTGACCGGCTGTATGTGAAAAACAAATTGTGAGAAAGAACTGTGCTTAAAAAAAATACTTAGTACTGCAGCATTTTTCAATCTCTGCCACAGGTTAGCTCCATACAACTCAGTCTTCCCTATCTAAGGAAAATAAGCTCTTCAGAGGAGTGTTTTTGCACCTTGGTCTGCACCCTAACGCAGCAGGGTCTTTAAAATAATCTGTGGCTGCCAAATTCATAACCACTGCCAGAAGCTCAATTCCTCCTCCAGATTTCAATCAGAAAGCATGTAGCGGGATGCATGGAAATGTGTTGAGCTTCCCACCCTTACCAGTGCAAAGGTTTCTTCAGATGTCTTAAAAATACTACCAAGGCTGGTGAACACAGGGACAGAAACCATCTGTTCCTGTAAATCCCAAGACTAGGCCATGTTCTAGCTAGCTAAGCCTAGGGCCTGTCTTCAGTCAGTTGACTAGCTTAATGTCAAGGGGTCAGAAAAAAAGGCAGTTTGGTGACTGTCAGTCATTATCAGGATAGCAGCACCAGCATGAAAAAGGGGAGTCTTGATAAATGGAAGAAATCGAAGAAAGCATCTGGCCTTTCATGTTAGCTAGTCAAATACTTCAAGAAGTAACATGAATTACATGAATTACTGTGAGAAGACCATCCTTTATAGTCAGCACCAACAAAATTGTGGTGATTGAAGATTCACCACTTTAAGATGGAATATAGAGGGAAAAGGAACAAGGTATAATAACAAAGCAGCTGGAGTCCTTTAATGGTGTGGGCCACACTGGAAGCTTTTCAGCTGGAAAGACGAAAGAAGCAAAACATTTCTTTTGATTTTTGCAGGAATAGTTGAAGAATGAATGCTATCATTAATTAGGCTTAACTTACTTTTCTCAAGCCTTCTCTCAACTAGTGGACTTCCATTGAGTTTATTTGCCCAGCTTTGAATGGGAATCCTTTATGGCAATGCCACAGTATGGCTCTTATATTAGTAAGGGAAGCCATAAAAAAGACTCTCCCAAAGCGAAAAAAGAAAGGTGCTACCTGACTTCCATATTAATGTCCTTCTGCAGCAGCAGGAGTGTGTCTGAATTTATATGGAGAGGCTTTTTATTTAAAACTGAGATGTCCTCTTACACTCCCATTATGCCACCTCTCTGTAGACACAGAATTCACGGTTGAGGCTAGCCAGGTGTGTTCAGAAGCATAAATCAGCCTAGGTCATAATCAGAATTCTCTCAGGCACTGTTGAGGTGTGGGTACCTGTGATAAGAGTGTAAAGAAAAAGACCAGCCTTCATTAGTGGCTAAAGGTATGTGACAAACACTACCTAGGACTCTAAATCAACAGAAAGGCCTTCAGAGACCATCACTTTCAGTGCCAAGTTCAGGCTGCCCAATGGAAGAGACTAACTTAGAAACCCTTCCTTCAATGGCATCTAAGGTCAATAAGCAAGGAGTGATTCAGGCTCCTACCTTTTGTGAGCAGCAGTCACAATGCATCAGTCTGGCAGGACTGACTTCTCTACCTTGCCTAACTTGCGTACCAAGATGACTTTTTTTCCACTGACTGCAAAGGAAGCCAAGTTCTAGCAACTTGGCATAACAGGTGGTCAGAATTGCTCACCAGTCTCTTGACCTGACACGCTGTCATTGCTCCCATGTTCCATAGCAGGCAATGGGAATACAGCTCACAGTTTCTAGCTCTCAGTGTGATCCTTGCACTTTGGAATAAATAGATAAATTGAGTGGTGCTTTCCAACTGTACATCTGGAGATGACTCTGTAGTGAGCCCTAATTTGAAGGCAAGAACCTGACTGCTTTACTGGGGAGAGAGACTAGTAAACAAAGAAGAAAAGCAAAGTCATATTTTAATGTAAAGCACAGCTTGTGGACCCATTTTTCCCAGAGTTAATTTGGAGATCACTGCTGTTTTAATCTTCTGCAATGCATGTGGGTGTGCCAGTGATCTGGAGAATGGCTTGATGCAAGAAGCCCAAACATTCGGATTCTTTCAGTTGCCAAGAAAACAGAATTAACTGCCAGTCAAATCAATTCAAGTGGAAGACCACAACCTTGGGAAAGAAATCTCATAAAATTAAATATATTTCAAGATATTTTCCAGCATGCCTGGCTCAAAATACTGCTGGGCCAACACTTCATACAGTGCATTGTTATTTCTCAGATAAAAGGTTAATAGCCAAGTAGGTGTGTGGCAACTACTTACTAATCTCTGGTGAGATTCTGTTCTGATTCCAGCTCCTGTGGCCCCTGTCCAGAATGTCCAAATTACTTTTCTCAATTGAAATTGCAGGTAGCTCCCTATATCTCATTACTCAGGTTCATATACATCTAAACCATTTTGTATATCAAGGAATTTGGATTCCATGATTTTGGTTCAGGACTGTCTCAAATGAAGCTCTGATAACTGCATATGGAAAAAGCAACAGAGTGGCATATAACCTCATTATACATATATACATATCGCCAGACCAAAACAATGAGGCTTCTCAAGCACTCTGCACTGTGTGTGAAGTAAAAAGTGGTTAGAGAATTTGTTTAGAAGTGTGTTAAGCATTTTCCAGGCAGGCGGTGAATAAATCCATTTTACCACTTCATGGCTTTACAAAGAATCCCATCCATTAACATGGGAACCCTCTTGTTTGCATTTCTTAACAGCTGACATTTGTACCTTTCCAAGGAAAGTGAAGGGCATCTCATTGCCTCATTGTTTAAATCAGTGTGGAAATAATGGGGATGATAGGGAATTGGAGCTAATTTCCTTTGTCTCCTATTCAGCAGATAATGGTGGTATGTGCGGGATGTTAAAGGCCAGGCAGAGGAGGTGACCTGAAGATGACTTCATTCTTAGGAGGTTTATCAAAGGCTCCTGTCAGTCAAATGCATGCTGAGAGATTGGGGACTGGCCATCTGGTCCAAAGTTAATCAAAGAGGAAAAAGAAAAGTGAGGAGGTGAAAAATCCCCCTGTCAGCTTTGTGCAAGGTGGAGGGAGATGCAGACAGAAGAGGGAACGCCTGTGCTTCAGCAGCCCAGCACCCAGGCTGGCTGGCCATGCTGCATGCAGAGGAGCAAACGGAACAGTAGGGTGAAGGAGTGTGGGGGAAATAGGAAAGATAGCACTGTTTTGGATTTTTACTGGGGACGATCCCACACCAGTTTTAAGTCTGGTGGTCACTGCTTCTGTTAGCCATGCAGAGCAGAGCCATGGTTGTTTCACTTGTCCTCAGAAAAAAGGGGGAGTGACTGACTCACAGTAGGGAAGCAGTGAAATATAAAACACAGGGTTTTCTGTCAGAGAGACAGACTTCTTTCCTTGGAGTTTTCTTTCTTGAAAGCAGGAAGAAGAGGTACAGCCATGCCAACTTCATGCCCTGCAGACATAAGCTTACCCAGCTCCTCACCTTCACCCCTTCCACCCACTGGGCTCAAAACCAGGTGTCCTGCAGGCGCTAGCTGCTTCTGAGGGATTTGTGTAATTGGCCTATAATGGCTTTCCTGTCAATACTGACCCCTGTACAGTTTTACACTGTGTGGAAGCTAAGAGGGGTATAGAGAGGGGATTTAACAACAAAGGGTTTGGTTTACACTGGAAAGGTATCACATAATGCTTGTAAGTAAGACTGAAGACACCAGACAACCAAAATACTGGTTAATACATGATTTCACCATAGATGCATTCTGAAGTAAAACACCCGAGTGTGACAGCCTGTTAGTCTGATTTCCGTAACCATCCCTGCTCAGCTGCTCAAATCAGCTAAATAGAGACATATTTTTAAAACTACAAACGTCCAGATTGTGAATCCTCCCTCACGCTGGCAAGTAGTCATGCTAATGAGTAGTCTCCTCGACTCCAGGGGAAAAATTATTGCCAACAAAGGTTTCACAATTCCAGCCCTAAACATTTCTAAAATGATTAATCAATGTGAGCTGACTTGAAAAGAAAGGGGAAAAAAAGAAGGAAAAAAGAAAAGAAAAAATATACAGAGAGGGGAAGGTTCTTCTGAAGGGCTGCAAATTAAGGTTGAGCACTAGGAGATGTTTTTCTGGACACAGGCAGAGCAAGGGATGAATGTGCTGCCTCAAGTACACACACTCCCACCACCACCCCTGGACAGAAACATGCTAAAACCAGAGAGAATGAGAACAAAAGAGTTTGGCTGCTTCATATACCTGGGGGCAGGATTCACTTCTCCATTAAATTTCCATTCTCCTTCCTCCTCAGGTCGAGGTCCAGTCAGACCCCCATGGAGAGGAACATATGGAAAACAGTGGCAGTGAGTTCTGCTCTATCTGAAGCTTTGCTGGGCTGAGCCACCTCTGATGCCCTGTTTGGGAGCATAACCTTCCATGGCCAAGTGCTGTAAAGCAGAGCTGAGAATAGCAAGTGGACACACACAGGGCTTCAAAAACCAAACCCAAACCTTTACAAACCCCTAACCCCAAAGAACCTCTGCTAAACAGAGGATTTCAGCCAAGAACGTACAGCTCTTTCCTGTATATGCACAGTACATACACAGCTGTACAAGTCTTGCTGCCCTCATATTTTCAGTGAGTTTTTTAAAAGAGCAAGAAACCTGCTGCACACTAGGCAGCTAGAAACAGGCACAGACAAAAGTGTGGAGGTTGGAAGGCCTTGGATTTTCTTGCTGCTAATGGCTGATATGACCCTTATGCATGGGAATAAAAGTAATGAAGAATCTCATGGGCATCAAACATGCACTGGAATTTTACTTACCCTGACTTGTATCTGATATCTACTGAACTTCCTTCCCTGTGCTGTGGTGAGTTCAGAAGGGAGTTAGTAGCAGTAAATTTTGTTTTGTTTTTTTATCAGCACAGCTCTGCATCTGAGAGAAATATGACTAAGAAAATGATCTTTCCCAACCCCTGGAAAGAAAATGCAGCCATGTGGATCCCAACATAAAAACAAGCATTGGCATGTCTGAAATGCTGTGCCTGCTATAATTAAAATACAAGCAACTACAAAACAACTCTGCTTCTTTCTTTACAGCAGGAAACCTGCATTTAGAAATGGGCTGACAGAAAAGTCAGCAAGGAAGTTCCACCAGAAACCTGCTATCCCCTGGACAACTTAGGGTTTTCTATCAGGCAGCAAGACATTATCATATATTTGATTCCCTTTGCCCAGTTCATACTGGATCTTACAGGAGGAAAAAAAGCTTTAGACTTAACTGTGTCTGCAAGGATTCCTAGTCTAACACATTGTTTGGATACACAGGCGTGAACATACTTTCTTCAGCATGTCCTCCTCCTTTTCATGGGCTTGAAATAATTAGATGTGCCAAGCTAAACAATACCTTAAATGAAACAGTAGCTCCAGTTTCTTCAGTGGCTGAGATTGTTTCCAAAATCAGGTAGGGGATTTAGCTACATAACCCTAAACTGATGGAGGGTAAGTGATTACATCTCCTTGAAGAACCTTTTCAACTTTCTTCTCTGTTATACAGCACGGCCACCACAAGCATCCTGAACACACACTTTAATGATTGCCTCAGCAATAATTCACAGAGAACCAGTTTTCCTTTGAAACACTTTAGAATAACAAGGAGTTGGGGGGAGGGAAGTTATCAGGGTACTGGAAAGCACTAATACAATTTATTAGACAAACCCTGTGTGGATGCAATGGCAGGTCTGCTATCAAAGGCAAAAACCTTCAGGCATTTTACATCCCATAATCCCAATGAAAGCCTGTTTTTGCAGATACCCTGCAGTTCATGAATCACTGGCTATAGCATACAAAATCCCCTATTTAAGTAATTACAGTACAATACCCAAATCTGCACAGTAGCTGATGTTATATAAAATATTCCAAGGCAGTCTCAAAACCACAACATTAGAAAAAAAATCCAAACTGGAAACAAGTGTCTTTCAGTAAGCATATTTTGTGAAGTGGGGGATGCTCTGATCTAATCATATTAGGTCTGCCCTGCAGACAGGAAGAGGTATGGGGAATGCAGGTGAGCTGTGGACAGAGAATTGTCTTCCATGTGTTTTCATTTGGGCTTCAGCACACCCTCAATCTCCCCATTTTTACATTGTTGGCTGGTTTTGTTATCGCAACCTTGGTTTTCAAACATCAAAGAACACAGAAAGATCTCAGCTCTCAACCCTGGCCTTGGCAATACATTGCTCCAATATTGGGCTGGGTTTTATTTCTTCAGCAGAATGAACCAAAAGCCCGGTATTTTAAGAAGATACCTAAGTTCCATCAGGCAGTATGAATTCTCATCTCTGCAATCAGTTCTGATTTATCTTCATGCCTGTGCAGTTCAGCTTCTATGTTCAGCAATAGGGAAGATAGATAGGCTTTCTTTCGTGAGGAGCCCTTAGTTGCTCAACTTTGGTTTCACCTACAGACGACATATTTCACCAATCTTGTACCCTCCAGTTGGTCTGTAAGTCAGATTTGCAGTAACTAGTGGATGTCATTTTTCCAAGTCACTTCCAGATCAGACTAGCAACTTTCAGTCATACCCACATAACCAGAGCACCAATGAAAAAGGATAGAGATGGGCAGAATTGCATTATGATTTACAGAGCATGATAAACGTTTTCAGTTCAGATTAATTCTGTCTACTTCTGACAACTTAAGATCTAGCAAAGGTCACAGCAGAAAAAAAAAAAATCTGAACTGAGAAGTGAACATTATTTTGCTCGTAAGAGTTTGCCAACTTCCTCTCTCAGAAGTACATAGCTCTCCTTCAGCGGAAGTCATGGGTTTAGAAATGTTGATCTGAATGAGATTTAGCATTTTCAGATATCTCCTCACAAGGTCCAGCTCTTCACTGCAAACTTTATCTTCTTGTTCTTGTTGCGAGGAATCTGCAGAACAATTGGAACTTGCAAAGAGAAAAATTATAATGGCCCATATATGTCAACTGACATTTTGGAGTTGGTTTATGAACTGGAAATCTTTCTCCAAAGTATTTCACTACAGCCCAATAAAAAGTTACATGCTGGCAGAATTTTACCCTGTTAAAGTTGGCAAAGATTTCATCACCAAAGAGTAAGTTTTGTTCAGATTAAATTTACTTTCATACTCCCCAAAAATCAATGTAATTGCTCAGGTGCAGGATGACAGGTTCCCAAAGTAGTCCAAATCAGGCGACTCACAGCAACCAAGGCATGCACAGCAACTACATATTGAAAACAGGAAGGAACAGCAATTATCATTTCATACAAAGGCTGTCTGTGTTAGGTTTGTGTGGAGCTCCCAGAGCAGGCTGTTAAATTGGACATAAGGTTTTGTTTGAGGAAAGGCAGAACCATGATGCAGAAGGCTTTCCTGATTTAGGTGTGCCTTTTGCTACAAGCATCAATCACAAAGAATGCAAACGGTTTGAGTTAAAGACGCGGTGAGGAGTTTGGCAGAAATTTGGACTGCT